TTGAAGGGCATCTCAGTTCTTTCCACAGTCGGGCTATCATGGGTATTGCTGCTATGAACATTGGTGTACATGTGCCCCTTCTTGTCACTACATCTATATCTTAGCAGTAGTATAATTGCTGGGTCATAGGGTTCTATTTTTAACTTTTTGAGGAAACTCTATGATGTTTTCCAAAGTGCCTGTACCAGCTTTCATTCCCACCAACATCGTAAGGCGGTTCCCCTTTCTCCACAACTTTTCCAACATTTGCTGTTTCTTGCCTTGAGGATTTTTGCCATTCTAACCATTGTAAAGTGGTATTCAATGTGGTTTTGATTTGAATTTCCCTGATGGCTAATGATGCTGAACATTTTTTCATGTGCCTGTCAGCCATTCATATATCTTCTTTGGAGAAGTGTCTGTTCATGTCTTCTGCCGATTCTTTGACTTGATTACTTGGTTTTTTGGTGTTGAGTTTGAGAAATTCTTCATAGATTTTGGATAGCAACCCTTTATCTGTAGTGTCATTCGCAAATATCTTCTCCCTTTTCATGGGCTGCCTCATTCTTTTGTGGACTGTTCCCTTTGCTAAAAGAAACCAGTTTCCCCTTTTTTGCAGGAAGATTTTCCATTTGATTGTTTATAGGAGATTACCACACACTTGAACAAAGACATTTGGGCAACTGGTGAACATCCTGTCTATGTTCTCTCTGTTCCTTGAGTTTCTTTCTGAAAGAAGAAACAGAATTTCATTTTTGAACATTTGTTGTAGATGCATTATGTGGTAAATCCAGATGGAAGTATTGTAGTAATTACTTTACTCTTCAGAGCAATCCTATGATTAGGATGATTAATGTCCTCCTTAATGGATGAGAAAATGGACACAGTTGTCTGAGGTCATATTGCTAGCTCCCAGGAGCATTCAGAGTCAGAGTTTATACTCGGGCATTCCAGCTCCAGAGCCCACACTGCTCTCCCCTGGATGCTGCTCTCATTTATCCTTAGAGCGCCATTTGAAAGTGGAAAAAATGTAACCTGCTAGTAGGGTTCATTTCCATGTTCACAGATAGGAGGCAGAGAAGATACAGCTCCTTGTGGCACCATGGTGCCTGCTGTTCCTTGTACCCTGGGCACAACTTGAGTGTTTCAATTGTGTGTATTGTGGCCACTGTTAGGTTGGCGGCCCCAGGAATGTAGGAGGAACAATAAAAATGGCCGCTGGGCTGTCATCTTCCAGGCCACCCTCTTCCTATACCCATGACTCTCCTGCCAGAAGGACATATGCCAAGGACATGTCACCATGAGTAAACCAATACCTATGCAGGAAACAGGAACATCAGGACTCCCCCCTACCCTCCAATCACCAAAAACCTTACTTTATATGGCTGTAAACCTATGCCCCCTCTTAATCCAAATAAAAGACCCACTCGACCCCCTCCCAGGCGCGACTTCTCCGATTCACCTCTCTTGAGTCACAGAACCTTGCCCAAGGGAACCTTTAATAAACCCTGCCTTGTGTCCATCTCGCCTGGTGTCCTGTGTATCTCACCTGTAAAACCTTACAGGAGCTGGTTTGGGTGTAGAGCTTTGCCTAGAGCCAAAATCTTCTAGCAGTCTCTGTCACTGCATGTTAAAACCAAAGGAGAGTTTTCTGACTTCCAAACCTGGATTTTAAAAATAAAGAAGTGAGTCCAGAAGAACAAGAACGCCTAAAATTATATGCCGTATTCCAGAAGACATGAACAGATATTACTCCATACAGATCCCAAGAAACACAAGAAAGATGCTCCACATCATTCATCATCAGGGAAATACATATCAAGACGATGATGAGATAACATCTCACGCCTGTCAGAATGGCTAGTATCAGAATGACAAGGAATACCAAATGTTGGCAAGGATGAGGAGAAAACAGACCCTGTGCTCTGTTGGTAGGAGTGAAAATTGGTGCAGCCACTGTGGAAACATTGTGGAGGTTCTTCAACAACCTAAACATAGAAGGACCATAGGATCCAGTAATTCCACTGCTAGGTATTTACACAAGAAGAACACAAAAACACTAATCCAAGAGATACATGTGGCCCTGTGTGCATTGCTGCATTATTGGCAATAGCCAAGACATGCAAGCCACCCACGTGTACGACCACAGAGAAATCAATGAAGATGTGCTATATGTACACAATGGAATCATCCTCGGTCATAAGAGAGAATGAGATCTTGCCATCTGTAGCAACAGGGATGGAGCTAGAGAATATTATGCTCAGTGAAATAAGACAGAACCAAATACTGCAGGATTTCACTTCTTGTGGAATCTAGAAACAAAGTAAATCAATAAAGCAAAGAAGCAGAAACACACTCATGACTCCAGAGAACCCACTGATGGTTGCCAGGGGAAGAGGGGTGAAGGGAAGGGTGAAAGAGGTGAAGGGAGTCACGAGGTACAAGGTTTCACTTATAAAATAAAAAGTCAGAGATATGAAAAGTACAGCATAGGAAATATAATCAGTAATAACGGAATAACGCTGGCCCCCAGGGACTACACTTATGTGGTTAGCATTGAATAATGTGTAGAATTGTTGAGTGACTATGTTGTACTCCTGCAACATGTGACAAATTTCATGTTGACTATGCAAACAAGGAGAAAATGAATAGTATTCCTGGAGGATTCCACTGAGGACAGCTCAAGTATGCCCCAGAAGGACAGAGATACATTGTGTTCAAGATAAGTTAAGCCTTCCTGACCAGTGAGGCTCAGCTGCCATCACCACCCAAGACTTCACAGAGTTTTGATGGGAGTACTGGTTGGGACGAGGAGTCTACATTGGGAAGAAGGTCATGTAATAATAGACTCATGATTATGGCAACCATTAATGCTACCATATATGACATCACTCAAGGGAGTCTGCTGGGGTATGAAATCCTGTAGCTTCTGGAGACTCTCCTGCAAATGTGCTATGCATTTTGATATAGTGACCATAAGCACAAGATAAATGGGTTTGGGGGCACTTGCAGGCTCGGTGAGGAGAGCATATGACTCTTGATCTTGGGGTTGTAAATTTGATAGGTGTGGAGAAAATGTTTAAATATCTGTCAAAATAAAAGAAGGAATGAGAATCTGAAGGGTTTGAAGAGGTGGGGGGGTGGGAGGTTGGGGAAACCAGGTGGTGGGTATTAGAGAGGGCACGGATTGCATGGAGCACTGGGTGTGGTACAAAAACAATGAATACTGTTATGCTGAAAATAAATTTTTAAAAAATGATAAAAAAAAAAAGAAGGAATGAGTTTTTAAACCAAGGGCAGAAATTAAGAGCAGGGTCTCTAATCTCTACACACGGTGACGAGCTGGGGAAAACCCAAAGGACACTTCCCTAACCAAGGGAGCCTTCCCGCCTCAGGACTGTTACCTTAGACACAGAGAAATCTTGTCCTATTCAGTCAACTCTATTTTGAGATTTTTGTGTCACAGCCAATTTGACTGTGTTCTCATTCTCCTTGGTGTCCTCTCTCACTTTTATGATATCATTTATGTCATTTATAACATCACTTTTTACTATTTTGTTTTGAGTACATCACCTTTGAGATACGAGCATCGTGTAGGATTCCTTTATCTACCTCAGCATGCTGAGGGAGCTGGACTTTCTCTCCTGTCTGACATCGAAGCAGAAATTCCAGATCACAAGGTTCCATCAATCATGTGGGAGCAAGATGACTATGGCCCTGCTGAGCCCCTGGTCTTCCTACTTTACTGTGTTTGCTCTCAGTGCTGCCATAATCTCTCTCCATCTCATCATGTATTTATCAATATTCTAAATAAAATTTTGTTTCCTAATTTAATTTCATATAATTTTTTATCAATGATCTGAAATTCATTGTCTACTTTGTGTCATAAACTCCAAGATCCGTGGGCTCCAGGATGCTGGATTTGTAGATGCATTTTTCCACACACCGTCAAAGCTTCCAGAATTGAACCATTGCATTTAGTTGTCCTTGCCATGATATTCATTATCTTGGAAGAGATGATCATCTCTAATACACTTTATTTTCTCAACTAGAACTAGGATCCATTGTTCTCTCAATTTCATCACTTTACTTCCAACATATGTGTGATGACATAACGACAAGGCCAATTGTGAGGTCAGGGGTGATGTTGCTGCACTCTTGAATGGAATCTATTCCATGCATAAATTTTCTATAGATTTCTAAAACATTTATCATTTGGGGTCATTTTTGGTTAGTGATCACATCATGTGAAAATAATTCATTTATTTTTTGTTCAAAATCTTCTCTTACTGCACTAGAGAATCAGATTCATCATATCTACAGCAGCGTTTAACTTCAATGTATTTAACACCCTTACCATTTAGGAGAGAAGGAAAATTCCCATTTACTCTGGATTTTCCTGTGATGTAGAAAGGTAATATTTGTCTTTATTATAACTGTTTACTGTTTATTTTCAAAGCCTGATTTTGAAATTGCAAGATCCCCCTTTTCACTCAGACAAATGTAATTGAAGGAAATCAAAGACAATTGGCATTGGAATGTTATAATAACCAATGATTTGAAACGCTTATTTTGATTTTATCAGAATTAGATATTTCTACTGAGTTTTCCCACCCAGACTCTCCTTGAGAGCAGCTTGTGCAGATCATTCTCTAGACATGTTAAAAGACAGACAGTGCAAGTAGTAGAGAAGTAGGAAAGGAGATGGTGAGAAAATACCAATATTACCAATATTAGCAAATGATCCTGTGGTAAATATAACATACGCTGTTTGTTCCATAAGTGTTCACTGTTATGTCCCAGATCAATGTCACCTGTCTGGTTACTGGAGTGGTTACGTTTATTTGAGACACATGGATACAGCACAGAGGATTAGAGGAGCCCACAGGAGCTCCTCCCTTCACCATAACCAGCTCCTCACAGGACAGGACCCCCTAAATTCCCTGTGGCTTCTACCATGCCAGGCTGGGAGGCTCTCAGGGCCTCAACATGAGGAGCCTGATGCCCAGCTATGAGCTGCTCCCCCGGGGCCTCCAGCTCCTTCCTCTCACACAGACTCAGAGAACGTCCTGTGAGTTCCCCAGAGAAGCTGCTCACTGGGGCAGCCGGGACCCCAGGCAGGAGGTTTGTGTTCGGGCCTGAACCACTGTGGGAGGAGACTGTAGATTTTGCCCGCAGTAATAAACTCCCACGTCATCAGCCTCCACCCTGCTGATGGTCAGGGTGAAATCTTTCCCTGACCCACTGCCACTGAATCTGTCTGGGACCCCAGTGAAACGGTTGGAAACTAAGTAGATAAGGCCCTGCGGGGACTGGCCTGGCTTCTGCCGGAACCAACCCAAATAGGTTTTTCCATTACTGTGCAGGAGGCTCTGACTGGCCCTGCAGGAGATGGAGGCCGGCTCTCCAGGGGTGACGGGCAGGGACAGTGGGGTCTGTGTCATCACGATTTCCCCGCTGGATCCTAAAGTGAAGAGAGACAAGTGCCAAGTTACATACAAACATTTTTAATGATTTCCATTGCTTCTATCTCTTTTAGTTTAGCTAAAACACTACTTTGTTTTATTCCCATTACTTGGGGGTCCAACGGTGCACAATCACACTAATCAACCTGAGATTGGAGAGAGGCCTCTCATCATTGCTAACAACTCCACCCCTTCCCTGTCACAGTCCCCACCAGCGCACAAGTCGTTGTTCCTTCTGGAATCTTCCTCATTCTCCCAGATCTACACATGCCCTGCCTGACCCTGGAGGACTAGTCACACACCTGCTACAGGCACAGGGAATACACTTGGAAGCAGCTGTGCCCTCACAGCTCCCTCTCCACCTCCACTAATTCTCTTCCTCACCCCACTCTGTCCTTACCAGGGAACCAAACCATTAGCAGTGCAAAGAGTTGAGCAGGGAACCTCATTTTGAGAAGTTGAACTGAGGAGTCTTGGTAAGTCCAAGCAAGATTCAAGTTGGTCTTTTATGTCACACTTGCAAGGAAAGGTCCTCCCTAGGGGACACTATGCAAATCCCCTGCTGGGTGCAGCAGTGGGGAAGGGGAAGGGAGGAGGTGGGAGGGTACTAGCTTTGAGCAAAGTGACATAAAAGGTCTTTTGTGTTGGGAAGAAAATCACAAAACTCAAGTCCGTGCTACATGCAGCAGTGGGAAGAGGAGTCCCACTGTGAAAGCGTGGATCTGCTGTGAGGACACAGCCCACGTGCTTCTGCCCTCTCTGAAGGAATCTGAGACCCTGAAATGTAGACTTGTGTGTCCAGGGTCAGTCTTCCTCAGATGAATGGCCAGCTTGCTCACATTCTTCCACCTCATCTACACAAGGAAACGGCTCCCACTCCACAAGTCCTGGTCATCAGAATTTTCCCCCAATAATAGCATAGAGTTGAGCTATTTCAAGAATTTTCTGGTATCTACTATTATAAGTTAATCATTTAAGAATGTTAGAGCGGGGTGCCTGGGTGGTTCAGTGGGTTAAGCCTCTGCCTTCAGCTCAAGTCATGATCCTGGGGTCTTGGGATCTAGCCCTGAATCTGGCTCTATGCTCAGCGGGGGCCTGCTTCCCCCTTCCCCCTCTGCCTGCCTCTCTGCCTACCTGTGATCTCTTTCTGTCAAATAAATAAATAAAATCTTTAAAAAAATACTTATGCTGTTGAGAATGGAACAAGTCAGCAAAATGAGAGAGGAAGCAGATTGGGAAATAGACAAATTTGGGGGCACCTGGGTGGCTCAGTGGGTTAAGCCCCTGCCTTCGGCTCAGGTCATGATCTCTGAGTCCTGGGATCAAGCCCCCCATCGGGCTCTCTGCTCAGCAGGGAGCCTGCTTCCCCTTCCCTCTCTCTGTCTGCCTCTCTGCCTACTTGTGATCTCTGTCTGTCTGTCAAATAAATAAAGTTTAAAAAAAATAAAGAATGTTAGAATCACAAGGTGTAAATGGTCTTTTCCTCTGGCTCATGGAATTAAATTTTATAGAGCAACCAAGACAAAAGAAGTTGACAAGGAAAGAATAATGTGTCTCGAGAGAGAGTTTAGAGCCAACCATAGTAAAGGGTGAACAATTCCATGTTTGTGGCTGTGAATATGAAAGTCCTAGAAACTACTATAGTTGTTATAATCTGGGGTACACACACACATATATAGGTACATAGAAGGTCAATCAAAGGGTTTTGAAGGGTATGATCCCTTGGGATAATAGGACTATATAAGAAAAGAATGATTTTATATATAATTTTTTTCTAAGAGGTGCTTGGAAAACTCTTTCCATACTGCCTCTTTTTCAACAAATAGAAGGTTCTATCAGGATATTCTTTATTACCACTTTGTGAGAAGTTAAAGTTCCTGCCTGGCCATCTGTGGGGAAGCCATAGCTATGATCCTACAATCCACAAGCAGAGTCCATGTGTGAGAAGAACAATGGCTGCATCCATTGTTTTAATATCTCAAGGCACCCTGGGCCCATCACTGAGCTAGTCCTGGGTTTTCATTTAAATACGGGCACTGTGGAATAAGGCCCTGGGTCAGAGCTGCCCTGGGGTGACCATTTATCTCACCAGCCTCACTAAAGAGGGAACTCACCTAGTTTTTCCTCATGTGCCAGCCTGATACAGGTCACGTTGAATGGAACACCTCCTGACAAACAGTGCCTATGTCAAATTGCTTCTGTGTGACAAACAGAATTCTGGAGCAATTGGAATACCATATTTTGCCTTTTTATTATATTTTGGTTAATTTAAATTCAGAGTCAGGCTGAACTGACCAAGGAAACAAATTAACAAATACTAGTCTAGGTAAGATTCCACAAGAAGGTGTGGTCAGAATATTTTAAAGGTTCTGTTTTAAAATAGAACCAGTAAATACGAAATGGAAAATCTCACATGTGGACCCTTGCAAGAATGAAAATTGAGAACTGGAGACTGATTTCCATTAAATGCCTGATTTATGGAATATGGAGATTTCTGTCCTGACCAGTGAACATCTGCCAAGAATGACTTCCCATCCTCAAGCCAGTGAATTCACTGCTTGGACTCAGGCTGGACTTTCCCTTCCTTGCATTCCTTGCCCATAGGTACAGCTTGCCCCAAACCCTCAATGGACACATCTGTGGCTCGCTACAGCATGCACTTCTACTCAATGTCTGGTCCTTTAAGCTTGCCTTGGCTGTAAAGAAACAAGTGTGGATCCTCTCCCACAGGGTTCAGAGAGGGCAGGGTCTGGCAACACCTTGATTTCAGACTTCAAGCCTCCAGACCTGTGAGAGAGTACACTTCTATTGTTTGAGGCCACCAGGTTTGCAGTACTTTGTTAGGACAGCCCTAGGTAATGACGTGCCCACTATCCAACATGAAAATGTAGATTACCGTAAGTAGAGTAATAGTGAGAATCCTGTTGGGTTGGATTTTATGACAGCCCCAGTTTTCAGAAACTCCTTTTTACAAAAGCCTTTAAGATTCTTGAGTTAGGAAGTATTGCCTATTTTGGTGAAATTAGCATAAAACCTTTCAAGTTCTCCAAATTCTTTTTTTACTTTCAGTTTTTGAGATAGAAATAGCATCCAGCACTCTATAGGTTGAAGGTGTACAACACAGTGACTTGACTTACTGCTACTGAAATTGATGCAATTTTGGAATGTGGGTGAGGTCCCCAGTTAACGGCCAAGAAAGAATTCTTGAGACATCTTTGGTATAAAAGGATGATTTTTTAAAAAGATATTATTTATTTCAATCTCAAGCAGGTGGAGAGGCAGGCAGAGAGAGAGAGGAGGAAGCAGGCTCCCCACTGAGCAGAGAGCCCAATATGGGGCCTGATCCCAGGACCCTGAGATCATGACCTGAGCTGAAGGCAGAGATTTAACCCACTGAGCCATCCAGGTGCCCCAAAGGGTGATTTTATTAAAGCCTGGGGACAGGAACCCTGGGCAGGAAGACCTGCTGCCCTGGGGTGTGAGGAGCAACTGATTATATACATTGGGGTTGGGATGAGAAAAGATAAGGGAAGTTTCAAAAGGACATTTACATGCTTAAAAGATGACTCACAGGAACCTGGAGGCCTTGCTTTTTCAAACCAAGTTTCTTTTTGCCTCTAGCAAAGTGTTAGGGTCTGTGATCAAAGGAAGGAGACTGACACAAAGCGAAAGTCAAGCAAAGCTTTATTTGGTGCCAAGCATCGAAAATCAAACCGACCAGTCGGGGCCGTCTCTTACAATGAGGTGATGACGACCAGGACACCGACCCCGACTACTTCTCTTACTGGACGATTCCCCCTACCCGACGACCCCCCCACCCGACGAGGAAGCTCCTGGCGGTGCCACTCCCCTGAGAGGCCACTCGCTGGCAAGGCTCATGATGCTCCAGATGACTACCCAGATGAACCCCACACTCCCAATGATGCTGCTCCCGAAGACCCCGATGCTCTCACTACTACTTCCCTGCCTCACAGACTAACCTTTATAGAGGTGGTTGAGCCCAGCCCATACACACGTGGCCAATGGAATTGCAATACACAGGGAAAACTGCACAGTCATGCTAGGTCAGCAGTACGGGTGACCAATTAAATTTCAATTTACCATAGTAAATATATGCATGCCCCACTGATTGGATGTCTCCATCTGGCCTGGCCCGCCCCTATATCTGGGGTTTGCAAGCAAGTTCCTCCGGGAAGGGCAGGGTCAACCCAAGCCCACAACAAAATGGCTCCCTCTGGCCAACCAGGCTCTTACATTCCCCCCTTTTCTTTGGAATTTAGTCAAATCCTTGACTTTTCAGCTAGTTCTATGTTCTCCCATTGTAAGGGATTATATTGAGTATGTAAGACTAACATTTTTATCACTCTTACACAAACAGATAAAAATAGGAACAACAATAAACTCATAGTCTTTTTTAAGTCTTGGCTTTAGTCCACAGTCAGCAGGGTCCATCGGCTGCGGCTTCCATCTCTGGGGGGCGTCCTTGTTCTCGGCTCGTTTGATGTGACCCGCGTGAATCCAGACCCTGATGCCTTCTACTTTTACTGCCGTGGGGGTGGTCAGGATGACAGTAAACAGTCCCTTCCAGCGAGGCTCCAAGTCTCCCACTTGATGGTGACGTATCCAAACCAAGTCCCCAGGTTGGTAAGGATGTGGTTCCACCTCCATCTCCATCTCATGTTTGGTGGAAAAAGCCTCTACCCAGCCTGAAAAGGTATCTACAAAAACTACATATACTTGTGCCCATATTTCCCGGGTTTCATTTCTGTAAAATCTATTTCCCAATAAATTCCTGGTTCCTTACCTCTTTCTCTTTTCCCTCTTCCCTTTTTACTTCTTCCCATATTAACTGCCCCACACTGAGCACATCTATCAACTACATCCTGAACCATACGCTCTAATTTAGAAACCTGGAACTGCTTGCCTATAAGCTCCTTGAGTTTGCGTGTCCCCACATGAGTACCCTGATGTATCTGGTCTACTAACTTCTTACGTCTTCGAGGAAGAATTATCTTTCCTGCTTTAGTCTTAGCCCAATCCCCTTCATAGTCCAATTTAGTCCATTTTGTAAATACTTTAAATATTCTTCTGAATAGTTCAGTTTTTCTGCTAGGGCTGGAGCCAGGAGTGTAACCAGTTCTTGTACTGTTTTTTTGGTTGCTTGCTTTGCGGCTTGATCTGCTAATTGGTTTCCTTTTGAAACCAGATCAGTCCCCTTTTGGTGTCCCAGGCAATGCATAATGGCTACCTCTTTTGGGTCCCAAATAGCCTGGAGGAGAGCCAATATTTCTCCTCTGTTTTTAATTCCCTTTCCTTCTGTTATTAATAGGCCCCTTTCATTATAAATAGCCCCATGTATATGGAGAATAGCAAAGGCATACCTGCTATCCGTATAGATGTTGACGGTTTTACCTTTGGCCATCTGCAGTGCCTTAGTGAGTGCAATCAGCTCCGCTTTTGCACCAAGTTTCCATGTGGCAGGGCTGCCGTTCACAGTTCCTGCTCAGGGGAACCAT